AACAGTTGTTCATGACATTTCACCCCATTTCTTATAATATCAGATAACTAATCAAAACTAAATGCAATCCGATTAACATCAGTGTGATTGGAACTACTTAAAGAGACAGAAACCATTTCTGAATTTTTTTTTTATGTGTGACGTGTTCTTTGATCATTTTCTTTACAGGTGATGAGACATGAGAACTCCAGTATTTTGGAGCTGGATGGCAAAGAAGTGTCTGAATTCACTCCGTCCAAGCCTCGAGAGAAGTGGCTCCGCAAGAGGACTCATGTTAAGATTAGAGTAAGATCTGTGTTTGTTTGTTAATGCTGCAGAGAATGTTCTGGACGAAGAGGAAATACAGAACTTTTTTATAACCTTTAATAACCTTGTTTTCCCCTCATATAGTTAACTCCCACAGTACTCTCATTGCTAACCATATAAAATATAAAATATGGGCGTAATTAGAGCGTTCAAATATATCTGTATTTGTACTTTTTTCATTTATTAGACTCATAAACTTCTACAGTGTCGTATTGATCCAAAAAATCTTAATACTCAGTTCTGCATTTACATAGTGTAAATTATGAATGAAATCATGAATAAAGTATGAATAAAAGATGTCAGTGAAACTATTCTTTTTAGAAAGAATTAATGAATGTATGACAAAGTAAAAATGTGAAAACCCAGTTGTGCTTCCTGTTTTGCCCTCTTCTTTGTCTCAGAACGTGACGGCGAACCATCGTGTGAATGATGCTGTGTTCACGGAGGACGGAGCCCAGATGGTGACGGGACGTTTCATGTACGGCCCTCTGGACATGGTTACCCTCACTGGAGAGAAGGTAATGACACACTCAGCTGTGATGAACCAGAAAAAACCCACCAGTTATGTCATCAAGTCATCGCCTGAGTCATTAAGGTCATTCACCGCTTCAGTGCTGAAAAGATCTTGCTGGTTTTCTTTTTCTTGCAGATTGACATCCACATAATGACCCAGCCTCCCTCTGGAGAGTGGGTGTACTTTAACACAGAGCTCACTAACAGCAGTGGACGTGTCTCTTATGTCATCCCTGAGAGCAAAAAGCTGGGTGTTGGTGTGTATCCTGTCAAAATGGTGGTCAGGTATGATAAATCATTGTTATTACACATTTAAAAAAGGCTGTTTTATGTTATCTGTTCATTACAGAACATGGGCTATACAAATTTGATTGATTGATTGATACTCTTCTGTAAAAATGTAGACTCACTTTCAGACAGGCTTGTGGTGACAACTCATTGAAAGCATCTCAAGTGGTTCAGTAGTTGTTCAGGACAAAAAATTACAAAATGGGGAAGAAATGTGATCTAATGGCCAAAATTTTCCAAAAGATCCATGGTTTGTATAGTTTGGACTTTTGAACCAATTGCAGGAAGTTGAGACAGCATGAAACAATAGAAGGAGAATATGAGGAGGAAGCGGCTTGTAGGATCGATTGCAGTTTTCACCTCTGACCTCTAACGACAAGGAATTCAAACGGAAAGTCTACTTTTTGAATGCACTTAATTCAACGAAATTAGTTACAACATGCTCACGTCAGACGAGTCAACAAACCAATTAATGTCAAGTATAGGTAGATGCCGGATACAGGATTTACATATGACATATTACTATGTGAAACTAAAACTTACCGGATTAAATGTAAATATTGTGAACTTTGTTTGGGACCATGGTGCAGACTTTCTGCCTTGTTAGGAGACTATGTAGCCTGTTAAGACCACAGTCAACCCGTCTTCTAATGGCTCCATCAATTTAATTCTCCCATTTCACAAAGCACAACATCAAAAGCTGCTCTATAAACATGAAAACAGGTTGAGAGTACTCCAACAGCTTCCACAAACAACAGCCTTTGGGTTGTGGTGGCATCAGAAGTTTGCAGAATGAATGTATGGCTAACAAATGTGTTTCTACCACCTGATAAATCCATGCTCAAAAGAATGTAGGCCATCCTGGGCCCACCAGGAGATGTGACCACTGATATTTAATTAACAACTTTCCTTTTCCATCTCTCTCTCTCCCTCCCTCTGATGTTTCTCTACCAGGGGTGACCACACATCTGCAGACAGTTATCTAACTATTTTACCGCGGGGAACAGAGTTTGTAGTGTTCAGTATTGACGGGTCATTCGCTGCCAGTGTGTCTATCATGGGCAGCGACCCAAAGGTTCGAGCCGGAGCTGTGGATGTGGTGAGGTAAGGGTCAGAACTCCCGTAGGTCTATTCTGGAATGATATGAAGCTATATAGCATGTGTCTAGATAACTAAGTTATAAAGCACACTAGATAAAAAGATGCTTCTTGTTTATTATTATTATTAAAAGGAAGTAATCCTACTGAGAATCTGTACATCTGCAGTAGATGTATGTTGTTGCAAAATGTAACAATATTTTAAGCTTGATCTTGGAGTTCCTCAAGGAAGCAGTGTGGGCCCTGTTCTTTTTCTTTCCACATACTTCATCTTGGGACTGTATCAGTCACAGTCATGTCAATCACTGTCATTCAGATGGTTCATGATTACCTATGGTCATTCTTTGATTGCGCTAATTACTGTCTTATTTGGATGAGTGAAATAAATACTATAAAATAAGACACTGATAAATATAAGAGGAATAATATGCATTTGTTTTGCTCTCCCTCTCCAAACAGATTTGGTCTTGGAGTAAGAATGAATAGAAATGCTTTTGTTCCCAATTGTTCAGATATGTAATCCTGTCTTAAAAGAATTACAAAAAATGCTGCAACAAGGATTTGGAATTTTACAAAAAAACACTGGCGACCTGTATCTTAAAATTCAATCTTAAGCCCCTTTTCTTAAAAAGCATGGCAACTAAACTCCTCTCTTTTTAAAATGACTTAATTTTGAATGCTGTTCAGTGTATGTACACTGAATGTACGGTGCTACGCAAATCAAGATTTCATTTGTAATATATTATATATTACTCTTTGAATCCATTCCTCTCGGCATGAATTCATAATCATCTTTATTATTTCCAGGTACTGGCAGGACCTGGGCTATTTGATAGTGTATGTAACGGGTCGTCCTGACATGCAGAAGCAGCGTGTGGTGGCCTGGCTCTCTCAGCACAACTTTCCTCACGGCATCGTCTCCTTCTGCGACGGCCTGGTTCATGATCCCCTGCGACACAAGGCCAACTTCCTCAAAACCCTCATAAACGAGGTAAGAGAGGCGTGGCGCTGTGTGGCTGAGGCAGCGATAGAATTAATCACTTGAAGTCGCTAAAAGCCGACCTTCCTCTCTGATCAGGCCCACATGAGGATCTTTGCAGCCTACGGCTCCACCAAGGACATCTCGGTGTACACGTCTATCGGCCTGCCTCCGTTCCACATCTACATTGTGGGAAGGCCCACAAAGAAAATGCAGCAGCAGTGTCAGGTAAGGAACAAATCCTGTCAGGAAAGTTCCCTAGAAATGTTTCATAAATCACATTCGTGTGCTCATATTTTTTGCAGAACAACACAGACAGTGAGAGCTCATTATTGTTTTGTGAAGTCACTGGTAAATCGATGGTCATAAATATGCAGGTTAGCTCATTGTAATCAACACTTGAACCATCTGCTTTATTCGTCAGACCTGAGGTACAGCTATTTTTGCACTAACCTATTTTAATGTAGACTACCAACCAGCACTTAACATTCATTGAGAATCAGTATCAAACAATGAGGGGGTTCAACTTTTGGGGGTATGGCGCAGGAGAACGGAGCATCCACTAACAAGGGGATTGGTGGTTCGATCCCCTGGTCCTTGGGCAAGACACTGAATCCCTGGCAGCTGTGCCGGCAGTGTGTGAAAGATGTATGACAGGGAAAGTGCTGCACATAGATGCACTGCATGAATGTGTGTGTGAATGGGTGAATGGCAAAACTAGTATAAAGTGCTTTGAGTGGTCAGAAAACTACTACATGAATAGAGGCCTTTAACCATTTAAAATATGAATTAGTATTTGAGTCCTATGATGAAAAAAATAAAATGTGCAGCTGGAACATCATATAGGAGCTAAGCAGTGTAACAGGTGCTTAGACTGAGGAGGAGGAGGGTCAGTGAAGAGTTACTAATAAATAATGTTCTCCTGTAAGGTTGAATGTTTCCCAACACATGGTGCCCTCCAAAAGGTCAGAGGATTCATCGGAGGGGTCATGAGTACTCAAATAGTACTCTTTTATTCTAATCTGCTTTTGATAGGATATGAACGTTTTTTATTATTATTATTGTGTGTGTTGGTGATTTACTAGCTGTCTGCAGGGATTATTAAACCAAATCTGACTGATCATGTTTCCTTCAGTTCATCTCGGACGGCTATGCTTCCCACCTGTCCCAGCTGGAGTACAACCAGAGGTCTCGTCCTGCCAAGTCTGCCAGCACCCGCATGGTCCTCCGCAAGAGCAGCTTCGGCCTGGGTGCAGCCGGAGGCGACTTTCTCCGTAAACGCAACCACATCTTTCGCACCATCTCCTCTCAGCAACCCGGGGGAGCTGGCTCGGCCTCCCCCAGCCAACCGGGCCGGACTGAGCGTACCCTGAGCCAGTGCGAGGTGGAGCGCGATCGGGGGGTCGCAGCAGGAACCCAGAGAAGTATGAGTATAGCTGCTGGGTGCTGGGGCCGTAGCGGCAGCACCAAGGAGGGCAGCGGCGGGTTACTCGGCCCTAAATGATTCGAGTGAGGGGCTGCGGTGTCAAAGGCCTGGGCCACCATGATCTCTGGATGAGTCAAAGGTTGGATGAAGAGGGGAGAGGAAGCGGGAGTGGAGGGAGAGGTTGCATTTTAGAAAGCAGAGATAGGTGAGGGATGTAGCAGACACAACACACTGATTGGGTGAGGAGAGAATGAGGATGAGAGAAGAGAGAAGGAAGGATACTGAGGGATCTGTTCAGGAGGAGTGGACTAATCAGGCCAAGTGGGATCCAGCGAACAAAAGACGATTCTGTAGCATGACTCTTTTACAGTAATACTTTTTTATAGGATACGTCACTAACTATTGAAAAAATGACGACAGAAGGATTAAGAGAAATATTGTAAGCCTTAAATTATTCTCGTATAACGGGACCCCCCCTTCTCTCCCCACTTCCTGAACACACACATGCCCAAGCATTCACACTCACGAGCTCAGGACGAACCGCAGAGCCCCCCGATTCATCTTCAAACAGTCGAGCAGGGCTTTGGGCAGCCATGGCAACGAGCCATTGACTTTCACCTCTGTTTCCGTCCACACGTTTCAAACCAAGCATTGACTGGTGGAAAGAGACGCCTCACATTTCAAAAACACAAAGAAAAGGAAGGGGAGAAGAGAGAAATGAAGATCAGGTCTCTCAAATGACTAAAAACCGTATGTTTCTTTCTCTTCTGTTGTGGTATTTATCCGTACAGAGAGCTTTGCTGTAATCCTCCAGAATGTGAGATATCTGTCTCTGCCGGATTTTCAGTGGAATGACTCCACTGAGGAAATTATCCCAATTAGAGGGGATTCATTTGTTTTAAAGCATTATTAGTTTTGGCCACTTGAGGGCAGCAGAGAAAGCTGTAGACAACACTGACATACAATCAAAACTGTCCTGACATCTAAATGGGGTAGACAGAATAATAGAAATAGGCTTCTTGTCTGTATAACACTGTGCACTTCAGTAGTATCACAAACTGATCACACAGGTGAATCACTTCCTCTGTAAAACTGAACAAACCAAACATACATAACCTTCTTAAAGGGAGGATTTACTTTTACATTTAACTAGATTAGTTCTACCTTGACATATAATATGAAACACTGAAATAAGAAGGACACTCAGTAGACCTCCCCCAACAGTCGCTTTATGAAACCACATTTAAATTCACTAGATACAATTTTTATTTGGATCTTCACTAACTTGCACTCACTCTTAAATATCATTTGTTTAAACATGCCAGATTTTTTCATCAAGATCCATGAATTATTCTCTGAGAATTAAATTAAAATGTTGAAAAACACTCTCACACTGTTAAAGAAAATGAAAAGTGAACAGCTCCCTGATCCCCAATGCACAGCAAGTCATCCTGCCTACAAGCAAACAGACAAACACAGACGGAAACATATCCTTCTTGCTGGAGGTAATTAAATAACAAGACAAACCCGAAACCCCACATAGTCATTTGACACATTGTTAAGCAGCACACTGTTAAGTATTTTATGGTGAATCCCCTCAGCTGTGGTGTGAAAGCAGAGACTGACATCTCTTAACCTGGGCACAGACCTGCAGAGCTAGATACCACAAACAGTGACAGATAAAATCAAGCTGGTCCTTTAAACACGTGAGAGCATGTACATTGTATCAGAGAGGAACGTTCGTCTCGTCTCGGCCACAAAACTCTGTTCATCTCTGACTTCACTTTCGTCAAACTGCTCGCTGGCTTTGGCAGCCGAGTGTGTGACTCTGTAGTATTTTTCCCTTTCAGTGTGGCCTCTGGCCGCCAAAGGCCTTAATATCCAACAAGACACTTACTCCACAGTAGCAGGAAGGGCATGCGGCATTAAAGCAACAAGCGGAACTCTGTACAGTCCACAGCAACAATCCCTTTATATAACCATCTGCTTGCAATACCTCTAAAGTCTCCCACATGTGCTGCTGCTGCTGCTTCTGGTAGACACTCGTGTGGTGTTCCCCCAGCTTCTCGCTCTTTCTGCCAGGATGGACCTGGTGTTTCCTGAGTTTCATGTCAGGCTGGATGCTCGCTGGAGACGGAGGCAGGACTTTCACTCACACAGACCTGTGACTCGTTTTACTATTTTTACCAAATGGACCGACGAGTGATTCAGCATGAATGTTGAAAAGGACAATCCTCTCAGTGGTGAATCTGGAAGTGGGGGGAAAAAAATCACTGGTGTCCTCAAACATGAATTTTGTTGCTTCTGTCTACTGAGCTGAACTGTGTATTCTCATTTAAAGGGGGCGAACACCTCTGATCCAAAAACACAATGTGCACAAAACCATCAGATTTTCCCCTCATGCCACCTTTGCTCAGTACAGAATACGTTTTTCAAGTCTGTCTGGAAACAGTAGTCGCATGTGCAACTAGAATATCACTCAGTAGAAAGCTGCAACAAATTACACACAGTCATAGATATCAGTCCTTCCAAACATGCCTGATTTGTTTCATCAGATCCATGAACTATTCCCTGAGAAATCAGTGAAAATGTGGAAGAACGTTGATCTCGCAATGTTGAAACAAAGTAGAACCCCTCTGGATCTGCCCCTTGATCCGGATCTGCACCAAAATTGAATAGGTTCTTCCCTCACACGTACCATATCTTTGCACCAGGTTTCGTGGGAATCCTTTCAGATGTTCTTGTGTAATCTTGCTCACAAACCAACCAACAAATAAACAGACTAAGCTAATGGAACAGTTTTTCCTCCAGTAATCATTCCTCATGATTAGACAGATGCAAGTGATGGGGAACAAATTCACGGTCTGCGTTTCATGCAAAAATGTTTACAGTGCATTGAGGACATAAGATCATCTTTTGAATACACAGAGAAGGACTCTGGACTGTGTTTGTCCTCCATCACTAAGCTTGAGGACAGGATCAGTATGAGAATTACTTGTCACATCAAATAACAAATGAAAACCAAACTTATCAGAAGTCTGAACAGTGTAGTGAGAGCTACCTAAAATGACAGGTGTTTGACGTGTACTTTGACTATTACTTTGGCCCCTGTCCCAATCACTAACATGGAGAGGGGCAAGGTTTATGACCAATACTGTAGCCAGCCACCAGGGGGCGAACGAGCTGTCACAGTGTCCCTCTTTATAAGCACCCATTGGTTTAAATTTGCACATTACTAGTGTTCAAGACAGACAGAGGTTATGAACTGTCCTTTAAACCCATGAATGTGTGGAGCGTCCGTGCCCTCTTGTCCTCTTCCGTTGATATGCTGTTGTTTTATGCTCGACTTCCACACTGCGCACGAGTGAGTCTGTTTCCACTCTGTGATCTGTGATGTCTTCAACCCACCTCTGAAGCCAAAATCATTCTCTAATACTGTAGTTAAGCAACTGCGTAACCTCATTGTTGTTATTTTGCACTAGTTTACGATGGAAATATACTGTAGTTACCATCTCATGTTGCTACACCTCTGTATGACACTTTTTTTATTTATTTCAGGGTGAACTGCATATGCAGGTATGCGCACGACTGTACGTTTTGTCAGTGTGTGACAAAAATGAAAGGAAATGTGCCAAACAGTGAACAGACAAGTATTTAGACTCTGAGACAGCCTGAAGGTATCAGGAGCGTCTTTCCCCCCCATGATATCTATACAGATAACTGATCTCAGTCAGAATGAATCTGAGTATTATGCCTGTATGTTCAGATGTGACTGAGTAATGACTCTGTTAATTGAGGCGGGGGGGAGGGGGCGAAAGCTTTTTAATTGCACTTGGTCATGTTGGTAAAAAACAAACCTGTGTGATCAAATTCCCATAGATTTAAGAAAACCAACATGCACCTGTCCACCTTTCTCCAAATGGTATCTCTGTCTCATGGCTCTGGATTTCGATGACCACATCTTTGTAATCTGATGCCGTCCATGTCTGAGAAAGAAAAGATTAGAGTCTAACTTTAAAGCCTTTAACTGAGGGCCGAGGTAGGGAGTCTCTGTAACCATGGGTAATAAGCTGTTTTTGACCTTTGCATTGAGTTGCTGTCGTGCTGTGGACTGGGTGCAGGGTCAATTTTTAGATACAAACACATTTGTCCCCTTCAGCCATTTGGCTGCTGAGTTGAATGTTTCCCCGTTCGGAGCCATGTATGTGTCAGTGTACATAGTGTAAAGATGTATATGTAGGACCTATAAGGTTGAGAGTTATTTATTTACCTAAAGCTCATGATGTTGACCATGGAAAATTTCAGGTGAAATATATTTGAGAACTATGTAGCATTTTATTTTGTCACTTTGGTGGTCAGTGAAGCGACAGACCAACACAGGAAGGTTTTAGTTTTAACCAGTGCAATATTATTGTTCCAAATAACCAGTGTCACAGCAGGAGCACAGTCCGCACCATCACAAGCCACAGTCCGAAATCACACGCTCCGCCCGCAGTCTACGAGCTACAGCCGACCTCTGCTGTCTCTTTACAACAACTGCTGAGGGTTTTATAGGACCTACTGTACCTATTTTTAAACTGAAGTATTTTACACAACCTTTGGAATTTAACTGGAAGCTGCTTTTTCACTCAGCGGTGGGTGCATGGAAAAAAAGTCAACCCCCACGATTATAGCAGCTCTATTTAACAAGCTGTTGCATGTCATCCAGTCCGATTGGAACTATATAACCTTCATGCCTAACAATAAGAAAGCAGTTATGCCGTCCTTTACGTCCTCACTGTTTAATGAAACGTATATCAAAAACATTCTGCTGGTTATATTTGAGATTATTGCAATTATTGCCACTTTTGGATAAAAATAAAATCAAAATATTTACCATTTATGAAAGTGTTTTATTTACGGTTTGAAGGAATAGCGTGATGTTCTGGGAAATTTGCAAGTACGATGAAAAGATCAACATCTTTCTGCTCAATATGAAGCTGCAGGGAACATCTGTTTAGCCTAGCTTAGCATACAGACTGGTAACAGGGGGAAACTGCTAGCCTTGGAGCCTGGCAACAGGTCCCACAACAACCCACCGTAAAATGTGTTGATTCTTTTGTTTTAATGCTTTTTTTGTCAAGTATGTTTTAATAAAGAATGGTTTTAAATGTATGACATGAGGATACTGTCTACATTTTCATTTAAGAAACACAAGGCAAGAGAGGATATACATACTGGACATATACACATGCACACACACACACACAACCACACACCACCCTCCCTTGCTGCTCAGAACATACGACAGAATAGTTAAAGGTAATGATGGAAACCACAGAGAACCAGATTTGCTTCTAAAACAATTTTCTTTTTGTCTAGACAGTTCATTCTTTTTAATACTTATGTGGAGCCTAAAGTTCCTACTACGGTTAAAACTGATTCAGGTTCAATTTTGATGGAAATAATATCAGAGAATGATTTGAAGATGTTTGTCTCGGGACAGAGAGTGACGCTCTGGAGGAGATGATAATGAAGGTGATGCTCTTCCGTAAGGACACATGTTCACACTGTAGTTCTTCTAGATATCTATAATGCTAAACTCATCTGGTGCTGGTATTTGCAGATAACCCTGTATGCCAAAATGTCAAATTATTACTTTAAAAAATTAATTTTGTATTGCAAGTAAAAATCTGTTAATGAGAACAACGTTCGGGTTGCCAGGTTGTGAAAAAGCTCTGGTCAGACACTTTAACCTCTGATCTTATGGAATTATCTTAGTCTTAATGATAAGAATCATTTAAAAACATTTCAACAGTTTTCTATCTGAGTTACAAAGCAATTTACATATAACTAGGTCAAATATACTAATACTAGTATAACTTGTAACCCAAGGTAAATTTAATTTTCAGGGAACCAGTACAGAGGTCAGAACAGTTGTATCCACATCTGGTCTTGGACTAAGTGAAGTGTGTTTCTCATTTATTTATTTATCTTTTGCCTAAAAGCTGAATACAGCAAACAACTATAATGAAGACATGACCTCCTCATCACCAGTGTGAGAGAGGTAATAAAGCTTATTTCAATAACTGAACATTTACTTCAACACCAGACTCATCTCTTTCACCAAATATCAACCCAACATTTGTTGTTATTGATGGATTTTTACTGATCCATAAAGTTTATCAGTTCATTGGAAGCAATCAAAATACAGGATACATTCTTATAAAGTTTTTAATTTATCCTTGTCAACAGAATATAAACAAATTCTTGGTTGTTATTTATCCCACAGCTAGAGAGTAGAAGGTCTGTGATAAATATTAAGGCGTCAAATATACAGTGGCAATAATTCATATATAATCTTGATATGTGCAGTGTTTTAGAGTACATTCACATTTTTTATTAAATTTAAATTATATCAACAAAAGTTCATTTTAATTGATTAAAATGTATTTAAAATATAAATGCAGTATTTAAACAGTCAAAATTATTTCAACACACTATTACATATAGTTATATATACATCCTGAAAACGTCCTGCAGTATGAAGCATCTACAATTAGATAAAGTGATACCTGATAGTATGACATAACATTTAAAAAATAGTATTCAGTCTGCCATTGAGTTTTTAAATGTGTATAATGCATTATTGAATTCTTTATATGTATTGATTCATGTATAATTCAATCTTTTATTTTATAAAATTTAGTTTTAAAGCATGTACACACAGTGTAAACATTTAAGGCAAAATGTATTAGTTTTAGATAAAAGTATTACATACTGAGTAAAACTACTGAACCGCCTAGAAAACATTACAGGGAGTTAAAAACTCTTTATGTAGGAGTGTTTATATACTGCTTATCAATGCTGTATACAGTGGGTCATGTGTTATTCTCTTTTCCATGACATTGACATACGTTGATTAAAAAGCTGTATTTAATAAACACCAGTGAATTAGACTCATGTTGTTTTCAGACACATGATACAGTCGGTGCTGCTGTCTCCTAGTTCAGACAGACATCTGACCTCTGACCCCAGCGCTCTCTCTACCATTGTCTACTGTGTGGATGTGGAATAAAGCCAATTGGACCGTATCTCAGCATGGGTATGTCTCTTTATCGGATCTATGCACTTGTTATGAAATTTTCTGCAGATGTTCATGCTCCCCAGAGGATGAATCCTACTGAACCAATGCAAATATCAGCCACCGTTTATTTATTCAACAAATCTTTAGTCAAAAACACAATCGACTCACAAGTCATGGACCAACAAAAGTTTACAGAAATACTGAATTCATTCATCCACAAAGTGAATGCACGACCTCTCAACAACTCTGTAACCATCAGGAATAAAGTGTAGTAACACTTTACTTTGCAGGTCATAACTTAGAAAACAACAGTAATTGTTGACTTGCAGTTGAAAGCAAATCAAAGCGTTCATTAATGTATTTAACTCCAATAAATAGAAGCTGCTGTATAAACATGTAATGAAGGATTATGATGATAAAAAACACTGCATCCTCATCGGAGAAGTTATCATTTCTGACATGTACTGTACATTAGTAAACATTTGAAATCAATATTATAGTGCTCTAAACCATTTATTACATATTTTTATACCATAAATAAATGCAAAAGTAAAGTGTTACACTGAGTCTGTAACACACCTGCACACCGCCCACAGTTTTTATGAGAGTTTAAACTTAAATAAAAACAAGTGCAGCGACATTAAGTTATATTTCTTTAATGTTGCAAATGTCGTGGAACACTCACATAGCGCCCTCATTAGGTCGATTCATGTAATGTAAGGTCTGTCTTGTGTTTTTTTTTTTGGCTCAGTCAAACCTATACAGTATCAACACAAACACACAATGGCTCATTTGACTGTACACAAACACAACATGTGCTGTTCACCCCTGAGCTGAAACACAGGGAACAGGAGGAGGATCCCCCACATATTGCACAAAATGGCAACAGCTGTTTATAAAATTGGCCACGGTGAAGATAAGATATGATTAAATCTATAAAAATTCATTTAAAACAAATAGTTATTCATCTTTTTTTTTGTGCTTTACTGCACATGACAGAAGGGTGGTGAGTACACTTCACAGGAGGCGAGCAGAGACTGGTTTTACAGATGGACGGATGGATGAGGGGAAGCGGTGGCAGCCTGTACAGCAAAGAGGTTGAAGGAGGAACCAAACACACATCATAAAATAACGTCTCAGGTCAAGTCAACATTACAGTGGAATATCATGTGTTTTATGGGCGTCTACAGTGCTCGAGGCCTCCTCGGGGTTATTTGCTTGCTAGCTTGCTCTTCTTCCTGGAGTGTACAACGGAAAGACTTGACTTTATCTGGAAGACAAGAGGACATCACAGAACATGCGTCAATGACTAAAAATATCTGAAAAGACATGTACATGTTATGAAATACGATTTGCAAGACTTGTGCCTTTTTTTTTAAAGGAAAACGGTGTAATTTTTACTAAGCAACAGCGCCCTCTGCAGCCAGACGTGGTGGTTAACTGTTGGGCTGCTTGTCGAAGCGATTGAGTGTTTTTTATGTAGAGATGATTGAGAATCTATCAATGTGTTGATTGGGTTTTTCCCATGATCCCCAGCTTCCTGAACCAGAAGAGCTGAGTCTACAATACATATAAAATAATTGAGACAGAGCAACAGCCACTAACATTGACAGTTTTAAGGACAAAACTAAGACTAACAATGTGCTGTTAACCAGCAATCTTAAAACTACGTTTTATCGCAATATTGCTCCAGGCACATATTCCATAAAAATATTTTTCTTTTTCTCCAAAGCCTGCAGTGGTGTCTGTAGAGAAATCCATTTCCACGCATTAAACACAGGAAGCAGAGTCCGTAAATGAGACTGAATTACAGACACGAGACAAAACTTCATGGAAACGAAGCTTAAACCTTGAGCTGTTGCAGCCTTTACACTGATCTGAGAGTTCAGTTTGTGCCGAGTCAAACATGATAGGAAATGCTGAAGATTCCAGCTGTGATGGAGATACCAAATCAAAGACTTTACCTCTGAGCTCAGTGAGAATGTCGATCTTTTGGTCCAGTATTTGCTCTAGTTGAGTTGCATATGTGTCGACGTCGTAGTCCACTTCCTCTGTCATTTCCAAAAGCACCTTCTCGTCCTCCAGCCAGCGGATAGACTCCTGTGGAGGTAAAAACTTTACAACTGGAGACATCGGCCTGATAAAGAGGAATGGGAATAAACCTCTACCTTCACTGAACTGTGAGCACTAATATAAGTTGGAAAGCATTTTGGAAAGAATAGTGACTAATGGTGGATTACAGTTTTAAAGAGCTATAGTAAGGATTTCTCTTCCAACACTGTTTCAGCTCCTAATATCAGTTTATAAAACCTATGTGACACTTCCATGCTACAAGAAGCAATTGTTTTAGATCATTCTTACAGTAAATAAAATCAGGCTGTGACTGTTTCTTTAGAAATGAAATCTCAGGTCACTCCTGACACTTGACTGAATGTGGATCTGTCATGTCGGGTCAGAATCTTGTCGGATATTTCAGTGACTGTTCTTTGACTTTGTGGAGACTCTACTGTACCTGGAACACGACCCGGTGGTCCTCCAGAACCTGATCCTCCATCTCCACCAGCTGAGACACGGCTTCATGGAAACAGAAGAGCTGCGGGGAAACCTCTTCCTCCTAAAAAACACAACCAAGTCTGTTTTGCTCCAGTGACACTGTGACCTGAGGGCCAGAACTTTGTGGATGCACTTATATTGATGTTCCTCTCTGTGGGAAATTACACCTAGCATTGGAAGATACTTACTTAATTTAATAAATTCAGACTTTGAATTGACTTTAAATAACATTAGTATGATGAATAACCACAACTTTTTAGCACTTCCCAATTAAACATTATTAATCAATTCAAGTTCATTTCAGCAGCAGCAGCAGCAGCAGCAGCAGCAGCAGCATTGACATAGATTACTAGTCTTGTTACACTAGAGAGAGAGCTACAGCACCCTCTACTGGCTCAACCTTGATCTCTAAACTAGGATTAGGACCAGTCATTTATTAGCATCAGATTTACTTTGAAAAATATGGTTTGTTTTGAACGAGGACAGGAGATTTTGTTCCCATCACTTACGAGACTCTTTACTAAATTAATCCACAGACTGATTAATAAATAACACATTATATATATATATATATATAGGTAAATGTCTGGTGTCCCACCATTATTACCAAAAATAAACTGATTCTCCAAAAACTTCTCAACATAACTGAGAAGCTGTGATACCAACAGTCTCTACTTCTTGACAGGATTGTGTGTTTCCACAGAGGTGCAGGACTTTATATTGCAGTGAGTTTAAATGAGCCCATAGTAAGTACGAATGTGACAGCAGAGAAAAACATTGCTTATGGGTCAGTGTACAAACTGTGACTGTGTCTTGTTTGAAGACAAACTTAAGCCTACATCCACCTGAATGAATCTGTGTTTGTCTTACGTTCTGTTCGCAGAGCAGCTTCAAGTCGTCTCTCTGTGGAGAGCTGCCGACTCCCCACTGAGCCGCCTCGAGGACCTCCAGCTGGTTGACGAGTGCTCCCTGATGGCTCTTCATCGCTGCTGCGGGCTTCACCATGAGCTCCTTCACCCTGAAAACACATCATCGCTGCTGGTTAAAACAGCAACACACCAAATGAGCTAACGGAGCTGGAGCTGCATGCGACTAAGCACGGACACGTGAATGGTGAAAATGCTCAGCGTGCCAGGAGAAGAAGCAAATACTGTGATATAACAGGGGGACATATGGAGGATCAGTGTGGCGATGAAGGAACTGATAAATGTTGCAGACTCCATGCAGATTTTCAGGGAAATCTAACTTGTCTTTTTCAACTAAAAATGGATGGTGGTGCAAAATTAACCAAAAAATGGGAGAAAAAGCAGAAGTTACCTCTAACACTGGTGATGATGATGAGGTGCGATATACAGATACAGATATTATGACGTAATGACGGACAGTATTTTAGTCGTCCGACTCAGGAGAGAAGTGGAATGCAGGTAACCATCGTCACAAGTTAAATGACACATACAAATACTCTGCTTGGAATAATCATGTATGTCTGATATGGTTTATCCAAGACAAAGGTTCATTTGTACTAACCTGAATATGTACTCACTTTTTTTTAAAACCCAGAACTCTTACTATTAATTCAGTCAGGGCCACTTCATCAAAAGTAAACTTATTTTAAAATGATTAAAAAATTGCAGCAAGTTCTATTTCGGCTCAATTACAACAGACATGATGTCGATTGAGTAAATGTACTTGGTTACTGGGTGAGTCTTAGTCACTTTCAGAAAAACAATAAAAAGCTATGCTATTCACTATTTTTCATTTAAAACTAATCGAAGTTGTTCCCTGTTCATTTATATTCTTTAAAAATGGATTCAATCATGACATGAAATTTGAACGTGAATCATCATCCTTTACCAGATGAATGTAAAACCGCTGTCTCTGACTCTGCACCTGGTATTGACATTAGATCTGTATCTGGACACATTATCTGATCCACTGGTCTTTACGCTGTTTGTTCTGGTTATCTCGAACGTGTCAGCGTTGTAATCAGATATAGTTAGGTGACATGTTTACATGTTTCTAATCCAGATAATGTATCCGCACACATCGTATTCTAGTGCTGGGTGTAAATGGCAGGTACTCTCAGGCTCAAACCAACGGGTTCCTACTGAGGATGTAAATCTTTAACAACAAGTCACAATACACAAGTCACAGAGACTGTAACACTGGCTCACTGATGTGCTGTTATAATAGTTTTTGGAAACATTGAGCCAGCCAGCTGTCGAGGGTTCAGCCTGGACAGGTCGACAGCATACAGTATATAAATAGACAAACAACTATTCACTCTCACAACTATAGTCAATTAAGAGTCTTCTGTGATCCTCACCCCAATCTGCATGTCTTTGGACTGTGGGAGGAGTCCAGAGAAAACTCATGCAATCACTAGAACATGCAATCTCCACACAGAAAGACTTAATAACCTGTAAACACAATGGATTCATTGTTTGTTTAAATGTTTTTATGAGATTTGTTGAAAAAATGGAATATCACCGGGCTTATCCTTGATCTGAATTACACTTTCTACGACTGTTCATGACACGGTAACTTCTGAGTGCAACAAAAATAAATGGGTCGTGCAGGTGATGTCATAATGCCATGTGAAGGGAGAGGCTAGGGAGAGAAGCGATGGGAGATGATGTAAAGTGATACAAGAAGTGATAAGTTATACTCATAAGTCGGGGAGAGCTCAGAGCGACAACCTCCACCCCCGCCCTGGGAGAAGGGAATGTCTGAGGGACTGATACCAAACTCCTTCACCCTGGAAACATGGTGGGAGAAACAAACAGAGAAACACAGAGAAGAGACAGGAAAGGACAGTGGGAGAAAAAGCATTCAAATATTATATCAAGGGAAAGCAGCAATAGTAGAGTGTCTAAAGTTGTGATAAAAATGTAGTTGAGTATAAGGTACAATATTTGCCTCTGTATTGTCATGAAATAGAGATATAAAGTAGAAGAAAACTGTAATACTTACCTCAAAGGTACCCAAGACTATACTAGTTGATATACTAGTAGACTAGACTATACTACTTAATAAAATGTACTTCAATAATGTACTTAATGATGTAAGTCTATTCCAAACTTTGAATGTTTGTCAGGTTTTCACTTACATCAAAGCTGCATTAATAAAGTGCAGCCACTAAAGTGTTTAGTGTCTTTCATTTCACAACTTCCCTGGCTCATTTTCAGTGTCCTCATCGAACCCTGTTCCAGCAGCATCAGGGCCTGGTCACACACATGCAAATGTTTTAGAGGCAAACCTTCCGACCTTGTGAGGAGCGAGGAGGTGATTAAAACACTTGCTCCCTGTGGTGAGAAAAAAAGTCGTGAATTTGACCCTCACTTCGCATTTGCACATGTGTGACCCTGCCCTCACACAGTTGTTTTCAGAGTCTCACTTGCTCAGCGACAATATGTCAGTGTTTTATATATTTCATAGCTTTTTACCAAAAAAAAAGAGAAGTGATACTGATTCAAGTAACATCAGCTTCACCTTCAAATCACAGCTGTAAGGCTGCATTCAGACTGACTTCAACCCTGGGTGACTCATTTATTTGAATAGACCCAGTTGTGTCCAAGACCCTGAGTTTGCAGTTACAGCAGATCAGAAGAGTCTGTTTTACCTGTTGGCGTATCTCAGTGTGTTCAGGGTGTTTTCACAAGAGGCCATTCCAGGAGAGATGGTTGCTATCTGTGCACAGAAACATTGGATCAGCAAATATCAGGCTGTATTCAAACCTGTTCTGTGTTTCATTGTCAGTGCTGCTCCTGCCCACAGAGGGTAGAGTAACACACGTGACTGTGCTGTTTTCTTACCATGCATGTTCTGGAGTTTTCCCCTATGAATGAGTCCCTCAGCACCTGGGTTAACTTGCTGGCTCGGAAAGGAGTGTGAGGTTTGTTTCGGCCCAGAGCTCGAATACACTCCTGCACAGAGACAGAGACAACACCAGTGGCTGAGTAGAAATATCATAACTTTATGACATCAGTTTTTAAATGTGTTTAACGCAGCCTCCAGAACTGTTTCCATGCTGCATGGAAACAGTTCAACCTCTGCAGTAAAGACACTGATGCACAGGATATCTGTAGCACTGAGGAGGAGACCTTGAGTGCCAGAAGGCTCTTGTTGATCTCGGCTCCTTCAAGGCGAGTCTGGCGGTCGGCGCTGGAGGTGTCTGCCCCTCTCTCATTCCCAGCCAAGTCAATCAGGGAAAACTTTCCATGCATCTTCCCCCGTCGGCGCAGAATGATCTGAAACACAGCGTGGCTCCGAGAGGAGTGAGCGTTCGCTGAGGTCTGACCAGAAGTCCTGAAGGAGACGCAGAGAAACAGCACAAAGTTTATTTGTGAGGATCAGCCCTAAGTTTTCCCAACAATAATTATAACTATATATATCATATATAATTAATTCCTGTGTTTACCTGCAGCTGTTTCCCACTTCAATCAGTTTGAGGACGTCCTCCGTACATTTCACGTCCTTCTCCTGCAGACCCACCACCTGCACCTGCTGCTTCCCGTCCTCCAGGACACGTAGCTTAGCCTTGCGGTTGAGTAAGTCAAACACCTTTAAATGAAAGCACAAAGTCAGACATACTGTTCCAACTCAAATCATTTACTGTGGCACGACAGACAGAAAGCATCTAACCTTATGACAAATCAGAGAAAAAGAGAAAATATTCATGATACATTTGGGAAAAATATGTTTTTACTGTATTTTACCCTATTTAGCAGCATATTAACATTTAATAGATAGTTCAGAACAGACTATCAAGTAGCTGTAAGCATTTTTTTAAGAGTCTATTGATGCAAATGTAAACTTTAACTGAAGCTTGAAGCTTTATACAAAATGTACACTAGTACTTCTGAGGAGATTGATGATTATATGACAATTTTAATGATTTATGAGACTTAATCCAATTATATTCAACTTCTGTTCTGTCATGTCATCATTATCCCAGGTCAATTAGTATCTGTGTGCACACTCGTCCCTGTGACGACTTATGATAATGTTCAGATCATGATGTAGAGTTTAACCTGACCTAAGTCTTTTTATTCTTAATGACTGTACTTTATTTGTTATTACATTATTTGTTATCTGGTGTTAATATTATGATCATTACTAGAGGACAAGACTCATTAACCTCGACAAAACAACTTCTCATTGCCATATAATTGAGTGAATATATTTCATGGCTCAGCAGGCCTCTAACTAGCAGCCCTGCAGGGGTCAGTGTTTTGGGGGTGGATTTTAACAGCTGTCATTCATCTGTGTTATCAAAGTGCCTGAACTGCCTTTCTTGGGACATCAACTACTTCTACGTTAATATCAGTGTGTAGCTCATTGTTTATCGTTATTTTACTATCATAAGTAAACTAGTCATTAATAAATACGTGGAGCCGCAAAAGAAGTGCAGCAGTCTGTCCTCACTCATCAACAGTTGTGAAGGACAAGACAAAGGTGGCCCGGATTTGTTGTTAGGAATTCTGCTAGCACATTATAACTAAATGATGCTAAAACACAACACAATTGGATTTATATGATATTCAATGTAGTCTAGAAGAAGGTAAATCGTTATATAGATACAATAGTTAAAGATTGTTTATATAATGTAATAAAATGTCTGTATATCTGCAAACAACCACATTAGATTGTGTCATTAAGTAGTTATTATATATTTTCATACCATTCATAAATGATAAATAATGGGGGTTAAGAGTTACCAATTAATTAAACACGAACTGTGAGGAAATTAATTTCAACTCAGGTTAAAAGACACTTGCCTTCCCGCTGTAAATCTCAAAAAATGTGGCAAAGACCTGCAGATCCAACTTCTTGTAATTTGGCTTCTTTATCATGAGAAAAACATCTCTGGCTGCACAGGGAGAGAAAAATAGACACTTCATTATGAAGCCACAAACGAGCAGTGAAGATGGAGGATAGGTTACTCACCGGACAAAGCGTAGATTCCTTTTGAACAGTCCTGGTTCTTGCCTGAAAAGTCACCTCCCATCGTCTGAAAATGAGAAAAATGAGTCACGGCAAGTGCACTGAAAATAAATAAGAAGTTAAAATCAAAGCACTCACATGTGTTTTCCCACTTCCAGTTTGTCCATACGCAAAGCAAGTCGCCATCCCCCTCTCAAAAATGGTCTCGACCAGCGGCTGAGCAGTGAATCTGTGAGCAGAGGAGCGTTTCCTTTAAGAAAACGTTGTTTCAGTTCCTTTTCTGAAGTTTAGAAAAAAAAATTACCTGTAAACCATTTCATTGGTGGAATTCTCATCAAAGGCGTAGTCGAATCGGAAAGTTTGGTTCTCCAAGTAGCGGGTCAGGTCGACTTTCTGCTTGGGCTCATGGACCATCACCACGTCCTTACTAGGAATGGTGATTACATCCAAATCCTTCCCTGATATCTCTGGAAAGACAAACACACGTCACTTGTGTTCACATGCAGCCATGTTCCTCAAAGTAAAAAGCTGTTCTTACCTTTTTTGTTGAGGGGACGTGCACGTACACAGACACATATCCTGTGCTCCTCGATCTGAAACACCAAGAAGTACAAATACATGATACTTTATAAACATAAAAACGAGATAGCTTATTTTCAGACATTCAACTTCTCAACATTGTAGATTTTCAACCTTTTATTTCCCCTCAAGTAGCTTTGAGGCTGGAAAAATCAACATATTCATCACTGACACTTTCAGCTCTTTCACCGAGTGAAACGTCCAACCCACCATGTTTTTTTTTAATGGCTTCATCAAATGGAAATCCTCTAAATGTCGAACTCCTCTTTTGGCCAAATACAAATTGGAAACCATGTGCATGTATCTCGCCTGATGTTCACTATTAAATGTAAATATGTTAAAGTTACTATTCCTCTGAACAACTTTACACCTGGTTCGTTTTTATTGTGCTTGGAGTTCAAGTGGTTAAGTTGTGTGAACTGCTCTGCAACAGGAATATGGACATGAAAATATTAACATTACTGTCTGTGTTGTTAGCCCCTGAAGCTACAGAGGCTAACAATTTGGCAAGCTAGTAGTCGGGTAATGTATTGCAGGAAATGCAAATCCTCAGACATAAAACTGTGATGAAATATAATATATTAACTTTACATTCAACAAAACAATGAACTTCAAAGCCGTTCACTATTTTTTGGAAATGTCAGGAAACACAACAAATGAGTGAACTTGTGAATGCAGCATTAATTATCAACCAGACTTACCAGATCGTTAGTTGTTAAAGGCCTGTAGTCCAGACTGGCTCTGAAGTCTCTGATCATACACATAATTTCATAATTTGGTAAATTGACATCCACCTCCTGCAACAGAACACAAAACAGATGAATGTACAAATCCTTTTAGTTTTTGATTTTGTATATTTTACACATACATGCAGGCACAGCTGAGAAAGATCATTCAGAAGCAAATGAGAACTGCATTCCTTATTTGCAATATAAGAAAATGTGTGCCATCTATTTTTAAGGGTCTAAATGATACTTTGCACTGAGCCCAAAACACAAACACATATCTACAGCTATTATGCTTAATACGTATTAACTATTCACGCACCAGGGTCAGTTATTAAAACTGGCTGCGTGTGTTTCTTTGCTCCTAACCTGTGCTCTCTTCTCTCTCAGCTCTTGCTGCTGAAGTCGTCTCTTCTCTCGTTTTTCCTGTAGTTTCTCCACTTCCTTTACACAGTTGGATTTCTTCCGTGCTGAGACATAAGAAACAAACCAATCAAAATAATCACAAAAATAATCACGCTCGGTCCTATGAAGTAGTTTTTTAAAAACACATCACAAAGCTTAAATTTTAAATAAAACTGGTGAGTATGTGGTGCAGCACTATGGTGTGTGTGACCAAGTCAAAGTAATACATACTATATCCAGAAATGTAACACTGTAATACTTTTACTCCAGTAGGTTTTTTCTTGTGCTGTTTCATAGAGGAATAAAAATACTCAAATACTCAGACAAGAATTATGACAGGTGTTTACTTTGCTTAACTCATATACTAGACAGTAAAAACCTTAGACCTACCCTTCAATGTGATTCTGCACTTGCTTACATAGGAATTATATGTGATTTAGTCCCACGGTAGCGTACATTAATGCTAATTCACATTGCCCCAGAACAAGTGCTGTAGTATGAGTGGAACTCCAGAAGCTGTGAAAGAGGCTTTGAGGCCCTCACAGCTGTGAGAGGAGCATGACATCACTGGCTCTGGCCTCAGCAACACGCCCTCCTCCAGAAAACAACAGCCGAGACACTGGAAGGAAGCTACTTCGGAGAAATCCACCACTGATGTGTCGTACGTGCAGCCACACACAGACGAAGTGTTACCGTTCTGCTGCTGAAGCAGGGTCTGGTTAAGTGCAGACTGGGGAGGGATGGCTGGTGGAGGTGGCTCTGCAGCCTGGTTGTGCTGGCTGGGACGGGCCCGGGTGGTTCCCACTGTTGCAGCTGAGGAGCACACAGTCCAAGAAAGTCCCTCATTTAAGCAAGTTAAAGTGTCAGTCCGCCAAAATTCTAAAGCCCACAACATTAATAACTACAACACCAATCCCTAGACATTTCACACTTTTACTTTTGGAGGATCAATCCTTGCAGATGGTTTTGGCTTCATTTAGGGTTAAAACATTGACTCAATTAGTAGTTAGAGTAGTTAAATGACAGAAGATAAATAACTGATTAACAGTGTAATTCTCTTAATTTTCTTAATTCTCTATATCAAGCATATATATAGAAATGACACTAAAACTGGAATGAACCTTTTACTACATGTTTAACAAAGCTCAATAAATACATGGATTAAGATACCATAATCCCAGAAACTGTATAAATAATTAAACCTTAGAAATACAGTAACTTTTTTATTTTAGGTAGCTTAAAAGCTTAATAATTATGTTTGTGCATGAATGTCTCACCAACAGTTATGAGTAATATTTGATATATTACTACAATTAAAACAGCTAATTTCTTTTTCAATGTATGTATTTCAGTAGGCAGGAAAAGCAACACATTTGTTTGTTAGCTCACACTCAGATTGTGGGTAAATCGCTTTCTTGGTGCATAACGTTAAATCAAACGTACCTCTGTTCTCCCGTGGAGCATTCTCAGGCTTTGGTATTGATGTAGTCCGTCTGGGCTGAAAATAAAAAAATGAAAAACAAAATCAAAACAGAGCCGGATTTTACAGACACTGTTTAAAAAGAGTCCTAAGATTGCAAGGGGTTCATGTATGAAAGTGGGCACCAACCACAATAACAGAGAATCAACAAATTGAACAGCTAAAAAGAAGAAGTTTGCATGAATATCATTTTCTGATCCCACTGCACAGGTCTAATCAACTCTAATGCAAATGTTCTTGTGAAAGAGTAAGCACCTAACAACTAGATTCACCATGAGATTAAACTGAAACACACAGAATCTATGTTGGTGATGATAAGACATGTATGAAAAACCTGCTTCCACACTGTTGACTGAAAACAATAACTGATGGCAATTTAGAATGCCTCAATTTCTCGGCACAGTAGCCTCCTGTGATAAAACTCCAACCTGTGAAGCTCCAGCTATAATTCAATCTGTCAAAGAAGTTTCAGATGGAGCACCATTTCTTCTACAAAAGGAACAACCGGAAAAAGCAGTAAATACAGAAACAAGAAGTGGATTGATTGGTAGTTTGACAGTAAACGATTAATCATTTTTGTGGCTGTTCAAGTGTAAATTCCAGATATTTACTGGTTTCAGCTTTTCAAAAGTAAAAAACTACAACTCTGGGGAACTATTTCTAACATTTTATGGCCAAAAATTTTTTATCAAGACAATTATTTGCAGGTAACTGAAAGGATAAAAATGATCATCTTGTGAAAACCCAAAATCTATTTATACCGTGGCTACAAAAAGACTCAAATCGAATTGGCTGTAAGCTGTAGCAGGTTAGACTTAATGTGCCTGTGCTAATAATAATAATCATGAGTGTATTAAAAAAATACAAAATTAACTCATACAACTCAAAAATGATCTTAAATTGAACAAAGATCCTGAACAATGATCTTTGAATGTGTGTGTGTGTGAAGTGATAGTGAGAGTCAGACCTTGGGGACTTTGCTGGTTTTGGCAACATTTGAAGGAGGAAGAGGAACCTCAGGACTCTGTGGTATCTCCTCATCAGGAACAACATCTGGATTCAGAGCGAAGATGCTCTCCAGGTCAATCTGAGGCACAAACATGAGACCAGTGAAGAATAACAACAGCTGCTGGAGGAAGAGCACTATAATAAAACTCTGATATCTACGAAGAAGTGTGTTTGGGAAGCTGCAGGACTGTGGGGCTGATGTTGCTGCAGCTCCATATGATTATTTCACCTGTCTATTGCATGTGCTGCTGTTATTGAATGCAGCCATTGTGACAGTCATATGCAGAGTGCTTATCTCTATTAACAGGTGAAATAATTTGGTGTGGAACCATTTAATCAATATTTAATTATGGGGGTGAGCTTTAGTCAATTACAGTAACTAATTTTCCTTTCTACTCTATCAGAGAATGGATCTTTTTCTTGCGTCTAATATGAGCAGAACGTTTCTGTGTACATTGTTTATGTATCTAATCTCAATGCACAATATGACGATCAAGTGGCCAACCAGCCTCGGAAAAGGTATGTGCTCTTAAAAAGCCCTTCTGGTTTTATGATGTAAAACATCATTGGAAATATTTGCTATTATCAACCTACTTTAACTGTGTTTTTTTCTGGCGACACCTTTGACCTGTCTAAAATAAACTCATAATTTGACCTGAGCAAAGCGAACCTGCACAAAGTAAAGCAGGTGAGTGGCAGCTGTACCTCTTTCCCTTTGGTGTCCCCGTTCTCGATCCACTCCACTGTCACACTGTCGTTGTCCTCGTGCAGCGATGTGACCATCGCCTGGTGTATCCGTCCTGCAGTGAGGGTTACACGGAGAGGACGTCAAGAGATGCTCGGCCTGCTCAGCATCAGCACCGACAGGACACATGCTTTAAGCTGCAGCAGCATTAAATGACACACAGTGAGCCACCAACCCACGGGATCTCTGCCTCGGTGTTCTCTGTGGACGTTTGCAGGACAGAAAATCTCCTGTCTCCAACTTAAAAGACTAAAGAAGATGCTAATGGGTGTGGCTCGTGTGAGGGATGGTGATAATGCTTTTCCCATGTCACTCATAATGTGCCACACCATGCTGCATGTGATGTCAGACAGTTATTGAATAGAAGCACACATCTGCAGCAGAGCATGAGCTTGAATACAGTGTGGTCCAGCGCAGTTAGAAGAGATGCAGTCAGAGGGGAGAGGCCCCGTGCATGCGACCATCCCTCCATCATCTACAGGCCACTGCTGGAGGATGCACTGGCGATTCGGTGCCTGCGTCTCCTCCTCTGCTGGAGCCGTGATGGAGAGGGGAGGAGAGGGGAGGAGAGGGCAGACGAGGCCGGACAGGTGACATTTGTTTGGCTCATGTCAGAGACCAGCAGCCGCACAGGTGGACGGACCCGCCCGGCTGGTAGCTCCGGCCGACCGGCGTGTCTGTGTGACTGACAGACTGCAGCAGCACGGCGGCAAAAAAACACAATCTTGGTTTTAAGGCTGTCGCACTAAATTCATTTGTTCTCATGTTTTAAAACAGCAGCCCTATCTGCGGGCTGCTGCATCCTCCTCTCCGCAGCGAGGGGAGGATGTAGCAGCCGTTAGCTAGCACGAGCGCTCCCACTGCGGTGAGGGGCGACGCTAGCTCGGCTCATCCGGACCTGCCGGAGGGGGGGGGGGGCGGTGTGTGAGAGGCAACCCACCGTCGCTCCGCTTTATCTCCACGTAAACACCCACGAAGATCTTCCCGAAGATCGCGGCCATCTCTGCCCGTGTCCGTGTGTTCCAGTCAGGGCTCGAGCTCAGCGGGTCTCCAGCGCAAGTTGTGTGTGAGCTGCTGCTGCAGACTCTGAGGTCACTGACGGTGATGGGAGAGGAGAGGGAGCGTCTGCGCATGCGCAAGAGCAGCCGCTTCGGATGGCCCTGAACAGCATCTTCTGTCAAATTTTATATACAAATAAAAAATAGACACCTAAATACGATCCTGAAGCACTTCATACTAGTGTAACAGACAATTTTCAAAACATAATGAACCGCAACCGACCAAATACACATTCATACAACTACAAAATAAATCAGGACAGATACATTCTAAAATAAATGATAAGCCAACTCCCCAAAATAGTGTGTAGACAATTTTAATTCTATACATGTATTACAATAAATAGTAAAAATAGAATCCAGAGAGCAATAACTCAAATATTTATTTTTTAATATTTACAACAGTTCAGGTATATGTTCTATACATTTAATTCTCAATCCTCAAGGTTGTCTTTGGTGTCCAACTTAAAATTGCTCAGTCGAAAAACTCTTTTTTATGTCTAGGTGTCCTAAATAAGGCTCCATCCACATTCAGGTTTGTTTTGAATGTGATGGAGAATAAAAACTAAACACACTTATTTCAGCAGAGAAATCCAGCCTTTAGGAGATATTCTTAAGATAATCAAGCTTTAAGAGTTTTCCTGTTGACAACACATGAAATCATCAGAAAAAAATGAAAGTCTAAAAGCAGCTGAAGGAGAAATACAATGTTTCAGTCAACAATTGTATTGTTCATAAAGGTTTTGTGTTCGGCTTGTCAATCAATTAAAATGTACAGTCTTTATCTAAACACTGTAATGATTTAAACACGTAGAATGTGTTGGGTCAGAGGTCAACACCTTTTTTTTAGAGCTAAATGGTTAAATGGATTTATATAGTGATTTACTGATCTTCATGACCACTCTAAACTCCTAACAGTATGCAGTTTTGCCATTCACCCATTCACAAACACATTCATGCAGTGCATCTCTGTGCAGCACTTCATCATGCGCACATAAACTCATACACTGCACAGACACAGCCATTACGGGCAAGCTGGGGTTAGGAATCTTGCCCAAGGACACTTCAGTCGGCAGAATGGAAGGGATCAAAATGCAGACCCTTCTGAGTTGTGTCTTCTAAAATCATATATTGCATTTAGATCAATTTACATGCATTTTGCAGGAATATTATTTTCTAGCATACAGCAGAATACAGAAAAGATCTGAACTGGTCAGTTGTAAAACCCTTTTACTGAACACAAGATGGCATCAGAGACCAGCAGAGAGAATAATCCAGACTCGTTCTTAGAGGATTTTGCGGTTTTGACAGGCGACCTGTCCAGGGTCTACCCCAGCCATCCAGCTAAACACTCAGCAAACAGTAGGATATAATGCATTTGTTTGATCTGTGGATTGATACATATTTCTTGTCAGACAATTTTCAAAGATCACAAGAGGAAAGCAGAAAGAAAATACACTTTTACTGCACAAGATTGCACCATTATTGGAAACAAGGGAACATTCTAGCTGGTTGTGAGGCTGTACTCTGCCACAATGCATTAAGACAAATGCTAACATCCATGTGCAAACCCACTCACAATGATAATGCTAACAGGCTAATGTTGCATAGCAAGTAAAATAGGCCTACCACATCTGCATCTTAACTTGTGCTTCTAGCATGTTAACATTTGCTAATTAATCAATTGTACCTAATCATTTTAGGTTTGCCGTACTCACATTTTTTTACAATGTGAGAATTATCCCCAATCTGTATTATCGTTTAAATTTTTCTTAGTTACTGAGAAATCACAAGTTGCCAGTCACTTTGGCAGGCTGGTCCAAGTACTACAATACCCACGAGCCTTAGCCACTGTTGCCATGGAGAGTAAGTACATAGGTACGTAAATATTAGTAAAGCAAGGTATACAAAGAGATATCAATGAAATGAGAGAATACAATTATAATTTAATAATAAATTAATATAAAATATGGTAAAAATTAAAAATTTAAATAAATAAAATTTGAACAAGCTGGTGTGAAACTGAAGTGAAAGACATTGAGGTTTTGTGACATGGCAACCTGACTAGTGTTATCTTAAATTGATTAAATGAGCACCAAAGTGACAAGGTGTCTTTATCTATTATTACTATGATATAAAAGAAGAAGATATTCTGAATAGGTGAAAAAGTTTGAATTGAACCATTAAACATTGTGGCCTGTAAGTCACTCATCTTTAAGATCAATGATTGGATGCCTTCTGGTGAAATGCACACTGGGAGTTGAAGTTGACGTGTGCCTAAATGTTTTTGTGCATGCTACACAAGCTGGTAACTTTAAAATAAATAAATAAGTTCATAATTTTGAACCTGTACCGTATAAGTAAATCACATTGAATATTTATGGTTGATATGAATAATACTTCACCACAGCTTAACGGAAGCTGACACACAATGACCTTCAGTCAGGTACTCCCCCTGATCACCGCTACTACTGTGCATATAAACTATACATTGGTGTTTGTTTTTATATTATCAACACAATCCAATGATTACTGGTAGTAATTCTTTACAAGAAATTTCATTTATCTTCCTTTTGAAGGTATTTTGTGCTTTTCATGAATGTTTCCATTCAGCTCACAACATTTTAGTAGCAAATACTGTATTTTTTACCCACAACACTTACCTGACAGCTGCAGGTGCTTCTCAGCTGAATAGTTTACATTTTAAATACTAGTACCATGTCCTTGGAATGGCCTGCTCTCTTGTCCTGTGTCAATGCTCTGGAGCTACTTCAGAATTATTCCTTGTCATTAGTGAGTCCTCCTCAAACAGTTCTACAATAGACTGCCACTGTTTATTGTTTGTGTGCTGGACGTTGTGTGCAGAGCTTTTTATAAACAGTCTATGATGCAGAGTGAAGTTAGAAACTTCATGTTTATCCTAACTGGTTTATCTGCAATGAGGATTTTAAAGTCTGTATTTATCAGAAAAGGAATTTGAATTCGCTTTATTACAGTTCACGTGTGGGGCTTATATGTAATTTTGAATGATTTACTTAATCATAACTGATGTTAATGTTACATACATTACATGTTGACTAATTCAGAGGTCTGTTAAGCAATCAAGATAATCTTCAGACCTAAGTGTACTACGTTTCTAAATAAAAGCTTTGTAATTCAGTTTAATATGAAGCATAGCAGCAACAAATCAACCATACTTTTACTTTGAAGACAAATTGATAGAGAGGAAGTTATTTGATGAATATTGTTGCCATGACGAAGATCAGCACCTGTGACCTGTGAATATTTGTGTCAGTCTGATATGGTGATATAAATACACATGGCAAGTGTGAAGCCCATGAAATTAATGGTTTGTGAGATGTGCGTTCCACATTCCAGGCATGTAAATACATAAACTTTGATTAATATTAAACCAGCAGCTCCAAATCTATTTGATTGGAGTCTCTGGTTACATGTCAGAGTTGTGACCAGTTCCACCAATGAGACATTTCTCATCTAAACCTCTTGTGGTTTCATTTCTTAGGTAACCAGGTAACCATCCTTTTTCATGACAGACCCGTAAACTGGTAAACTGGTAAACAAGTAAACAGGTAAACAAAGGAGCTTGTGATTAGAGTTGAAATAATTAAATGATTCCTTGATGGACAGAAAAGTGACAGACAACTTGATGATTATAAATTAAAGGTTTCAGTCAAGTTTGAAGCGAATCAAAGTCACATACTCTTTGATTCTCAGACCTCTTGCTTCTCTTTGTCATCAAATTATTTTTGATAACCTGGACTTTTGTCCGAACGAGACAAGAGCTCTGAAGATGTGATGTCCTATGAATCCATAAAGAAAATGATTGCCCCACATGAGAGTATTGAGACGTGCTCACAGTGGCTCATCCAAACATCTGTCCGTCTGGCACAGCGCTATCCCCACACACCCACCACCCTCCCAAAGCCCTGAGCTGTAGCTGTCACTCCCCCGTGTAAGATGCATCCATCCACTACGATGACTTAACACTGCCTTCTCAGCTTCTCCTCCCCCCGTCTTTCATTAACAACACACGTTTCCTCCACACAGACCCACAGACCCACAAACACTGACACAGCCCCTCGCTACCCATCAGTCCACCCAGTCCCCGAGGTGTCGGCCATCACTGTCTCCGGTTTCCCCAGCAACCAATGCCTCGCCTGTCAGACTTGAGAGAGTGCTTTTCTCTGTTTGCTTTGGTTTCTAGAGGATTAATGGACATGCATTATAGTGCTGGTGATGTGTTTAGGTGTGTGGAACATGCACTAAAGCATGCTATGCACTAACTACGAAATGCAATGAATTAGAGCAGCAATGATTAGTCGATCTACGGATAATTAATCTGCAACTATTTTGATAATTGATAAATCATGTCATGCATTTTTAAACAAAAAGAGCCAAACATCCTCTGCAATAAAATAGTAACATCAATCTGGATTTTAGAGAGTTGGTTGAATCGGACAAACAAGACAAACAAATTAGCTGAGGTCATCTTGGACTGGAATATTTCAAAGTGCATCTCCAGCATTTTCAGATATTTTACAGCCCAAACAAATTGAGAAAGATAAATCAATAATGAGATTCCATTTCGAGAACAATTATGCTCCTATAAAGAGATGCAAACTCCTCATTTATCCAAACTACTCTGACATTTGACTGTCTCAGGAAACATGCTCCAGAGCTAATTTGTGCCGTGAAAAATAGCGACTGAACCCAGGCGGAGATTCATACATATTTCTGTGGATCATTCGCATTATTTTACATACCAATATAACATGCAGTGCAGCTACAGCAAGGGATCTATTTTGCAATCATGGATAATTCATGATCTGCACAGACACTGCATATAAAAATCCTTTTGAAGGTGGTTTGGGACTTGAAAATTCCCTTTTCTTACACTTGGCTTCACTTTGTAAAGGCCTTGCTTCTTGTGTTGCTGTGTGAATTTACACACACTGAAACATGACTCACCTGTGGTATAGAAACTTACATCAGCCCAGCGTGTTAGAATTAATAGTCTCATGCAGACATGCGACGACATGAATAGTATTGCC